GATCCCCATGGAGCACCATGGGGCACCATGGAGCACTTGATTTGAAAAATGCTTCACACTTTTCCCATGGAGCTCCATGGAGAACCATGGAGCACCAGAAAGCACTTGATTTTTATAATGTCTCACAGTTTCCCCATGGAGCACAATGGACCACCATGCAGTACCATGAACCACTTGATATATAATTTTTTCACACTTTTCCAATGGAGTACCATGGAACACCATGGAGCACCATGAACCACTTGGTTTGTATACTGTTTCACACTTTTCCCATGGAGCACCATGAAGCACCATGGAGCGCCATGGAACACCATGAACCACTTGATTTGAAAAATGTTTCACACTTTTTCCATGGAGCTTCATGGAACACCATGGAGCACCATGGAGCACTTCATTTGTATAATGTTTCACACTTTTCCCATGGAGCACCATGGAGCCCCACCATGGAGCACCTTGAATCACTTGATTTGTAAAACGTTTCACACTTTTCCCATGGAGCACCATGAAGCACTTGAATTTTTTGTAAAATGTTTGACACTATTATTCCCATGGAGCACCATTGAGCACCATGGAGCACCATGAACCACTTGATTTGTAAAATGTTTTAAACTCTCTGCATGGAGCACCATGAAGCACCATGGAGCCCCATGGAGCTCTTTACTTGTAAAATGTTTCACACGCTTCCCATGGTGCACCATGGGGCACCGTGGAGCACCATGGAGCACTTGATTTGTAAAATGTTTCACATCACTCTTTGTTCCCATGGAGCTCCATGGAGGACCATGAAACACTTGATTTGAAAAATGTTTCACATCACTCTTCCCATGGAGCTCCATGAAGCACCATGAAGCACCATGGAGCACTTGATTTGCAAAATGTTTTACACGGTTCCCACCGAGCTTCATGGAGCACCATGGAGCGCCATGGAGCACTTGATTTGTAAAATGTTTCTCAATTCTTTTTCCCATGGAGCACCATGGAGCACCATGGAGCACTTGATGTGTACAAATGTTAAACACTTAATTTCCCATGGAGCACCATGGAGCACCATGAACCACTTGATTTGATAAATGTTACACACTTTTCCCAAGGAGCACCATGGAGCACCATGGAGAACCATGAACCGCTTGATTTGTAAAATGTTTTACACTTTCCCCATGGAGCACCATGGAGAAACATGGAGCACCATGGAGCACTTGATGTGTACAAATGTTTCACACTTTTTTTCCCATGGAGCACCATGGAGCACCATGAACCACTTGATTTGTTAAATGTTTCACACTTTTCCCATGGAGCACCATGGAGCACCATGGAGCACCATGGAGCACTTGATTTGTAAAATGTTTTACGCGCGTCCCATGGAGCTTCATGGAGCACCATCGAGCACTTGAATTGTAAAGTGTTTCTCACGCTTCCCATGGAGCTCCATGGAGCACCATGGACTTGATTTGAAAAATTGCTTCACGCTTTTCCCATGGAGCTCCATGGAGCACCATGGAACACCATGGAGCACTTGATTTGTAAAATGTTTTACACTTTCCCCATGGAGCACCATAGGGCGCTTGATTTGTAAAGTGTTTCTCACGCTTCCCATGGAGCTCCATGGAGAACCATGGACTTGATTTGTAAATTGCTTCACGCTTTTCCCATGGAGATCCATGGAGGACCATGGAGCACCGTGGAGCACCATGGAGCACTTGATATGCAAAAAATTTTACACTTTCCCCATGTAGGACCATGGAGCACTTGATTTGTAAAGTGTTTCTCAGGCTTCCCATGGAGCTCCATGGAGAACCATGGACTTGATTTGTAAATTGCTCCACGCTTTTCCCATGAAGATCCATGGAGGACCATGGAGCACCATGGAGCACCATGGAGCACTTGATTTGCAAAACATTTTACACTTTCCCCATGTAGGACCATGGAGCACTTGATTTGTAAAGTGTTTCTCACGCTTCTCATGGAGCTCCATGGAGAACCATGGACTTGATTTGTAAATTGCTTCACGCTTTTCCCATGGAGCTCCATGGAGCACCGTGGAGCACCATGGAGCACCATGGAGTACTTGAATTGTAAAATCTATCTCACGCTTCCCATGGAGCACCATGGAGCACCATGGACTCGATTTGTAAAATGTTTTACACATTCACCATGGAGCACCATGGAGCACTTGATCTGTAAAGTGTTTCTCACGCTTCCCATGGACCACCATGGAGCACCATGGACTTGATTTGTAAATTGCTTCACGCTTTTCCCATGGAGATCCATGGAGCACCATGGAGCACCATGGAGCACCATGGAGCACTTGATTTGTAAAATGTTTCTCACGCTTCCCATGGAGCTCCATGGAGAACCATGGACTTGATTTGTATATTGCTTCACGCTTTTCCCATGGAGATCCATGGAGCACCATGGAGCACCATGGAGCACCATGGAGCACTTGATTTGTAAAATGTTTTACACTTTCCCCATGTAGGACCATGGAGCACTTGATTTGTAAAGTGTTTCTCACGCTTCCCATGGACCACCATGGAGCACCATGGACTTGATTTGTAAATTGCATCACGTTTTTCCCATGGAGCTCCATGGAGCACCGTGGAGCACCATGGAGCACCATGGAGTACTTGATTTGTAAAATCTATCTCACGCTTCCCATGGAGCACCATGGAGCACCATGGACTCGATTTGTAAAATGTTTTACACATTCCCCATGGAGCACCATGGAGCACTTGATTTGTAAAGTGTTTCTCACGCTTCCCATGGACCACCATGGAGCACCATGGACTTGATTTGTAAATTGCTTCACGCTTTTCCCATGGAGCTCCATGGACCACCATGGAGCACCATGGAGCACTTGATTTGTAAAATGTTTTACACTTCCCCCATGGAGCACCATAGAGCACTTGATTTGTAAAGTGTTTCTCACGCTTCCCATGGAGCTCCATGGAGAACCATGGACTTGAGTTGTAAATTGCTTCACGCTTTTCCCATGGAGATCCATGGAGCACCATGGAGCACCATGGAGCACCATGGAGCACTTGATTTGTAACATGTTTTACACTTTCCCCATGTAGGACCATGGAGCACTTGATTTGTAAAGTGTTTCTCACGCTTCCCATGGACCACCATGGAGCACCATGGACTTGATTTGTAAATTGCTTCACGCTTT